ATTTTGAATAAATTTGAGATCTTTCAATTTCATTTACAATAAAGGTACGGTAAATTGAAAAACCACCACCATTAGTAGAACTGTCTTTTCTGAAAATATTATAACTTGGAAGAGATGGAGCAGAAAAATAATTAATCAGGTCTCTGTGACAAAAATGGCATAGCTTTTATAGTTAGCAATAGCAGTTGAAATTGAAAGCAAATTGAAAGTTTGTTTTGGTTGAAAGATTTGGTACACAAGCAGCTTCACTTAAAATGTAATAATTTATGTAGTTCATGTTATTTTATGTAATACTTTTAGGCCTAATGCTTGATGTGTACCTGATAGTTTTTTATATTGACTAGTAGTTGTTGATTGTGATGAGTCTATGAACTTTCTTGCATACTTTCTGATATTTTTTTACTCTGTTGATAATTATTCTTTGGGTGTTGTCAATGCAGTGAATGGTATTTCCACAGGCAACAAATTGAACGGACTGATCAAATTTTAAATTAGCTTTAGATTCCTCATTAAGTTTTTTTTTTTTAGGTTTGATTTATTAATTTTAACTTGTTCAGTCAGGGTAATAAGAGCATAGTTTGTGGTTGTTCCAATTTTGGTTATGTCTAGATAAGATGATTTAGTAGTGTGTATTTTATGTGGATTTTTCCCTTGGATGACATTTTAATTGTTCTTGCAAAGAGTTTTAATACTTGAACATTTAAATTTCATTTCATTCTCATGGCTGTTTTAAAAACAAAAAAACTCATTGTGGAATTCTTCATTTTTTTTCAATTTATTGGCGACTGAATTTGTTTTATGTTGTGAATGCGTATGTAACTGTAGTAAAGATTTATCAGCCTAAAGCTATGACCCTTAATAACAGTGGACAACCTTCTGGACATGATTATACTAATTATTTAAATATTTATTATACTAATTAACCCTTATTACACAGGGACTTTATAGTGTGATATATGTTGGTTACTCATAGTGTGTTAAAATATATATTTATTTATTTATGTGTGTTAGTATGCCTTATGTGTAATTAATTTAGTGTGTTGGTATGTTTTATGCTACTTATTGTGTTTTATTATATCTGTTATTTTGCATTTAAGATTTAAATTATTTTAATTAGGTTAACTTGTCAGTTGATATACTTATCAATATACTTACTAACCTATCCATAGACACATGAACAGATCAGTATACACACTGTCCAATATGTATATATACCAGTCAGTGAAGAACCCAGAGTTTATGTTTTTGAATGCCCACCTCATTTCCCCCCCCCCCTTTCCTTGTTGAACGGGTGCCGCAACAATAATTTTTAATCATCATTTTTTTAATAATCATTTATTTTTATCTTGATCAGTTTTATCCTATAACAAGGTGTTGATTTAAAGGCATTTTTTGAATACATGAGTTTACTGGTGGACAATGTTGTTTTAGCTAAAAGAAAACTATTTTACTTAAGATTTTAATAATCACTTTTGTTGCATTTACCACGCTATCAGTAAATAATTATTGAAAATTGTTTAAAGTATTTTAAACAGTTATTAACTATATTTTAATAAATTTAATTTAAAATAATAATTAAAAATATTTTAAACAATTTTTAATCAATATTTACATATATTATATCGTAATATATGTAAATATTTGTAAAATTAACAAAATAGTTTTAATTCTTGTATTTGAATTAAAAACATAAGCATTTAATAAACTTATTTTCTATTATTTTAAATTTAAAATTTTGATTTAAATATTAGTAAATCTGTTCATTTAACTTTTACTAAAGGTTTTAATTTTTAAAGTGATTTTAAGTTGCATTTTAAATTAAAATTAATTAAAGAGATAATTACAGTAAACATAATTTTAAAAATATTCTATTATTTTTTATTAAAATTATATTTTTAAAAACATATATTTTAAAAAATATATATTTTTAATTATTAAGAATAATTTAAAAAATTACATTTGAATAAATAAGTTACATTTACTATGGGTTATTTTAAACAGATCTAAATAAAACTTTTATTAAGTTATTGAAAGTTTTTTTTTATTATTATAAAAAGAATATTGAAAGGAAAAAAAACTGTCTGAAAAAGTTTATACTTCATTTTTTCGTATTCCTTGCGTAAACTAAAATAGCAAGCTAAAGATCAAAAGTTCATTCATTTAAAGATAGTGATAGTTACAAGAACTGATATTTTTTACTTTTGTTCATATATTATCAAAAGTAGTTTATTCTTAATTGCCAAAAACAAAAATTAACCTTACGCTGAATGGATATTTAAAAATGCTTTAACGAGTGAATGGATATTTGAATGAATCGATATTTAATGAATGAATGGATATTTTAAAATGCTTTAACTTTCTAAAAAGCAAATCTTTTATTCATTCCATCGTTATAAAATTTTGCAACATGGTTTTAAAATTAAGTTTCGTAACAACTTTCATTTTTTTAAAAGTTATGTCCAGTTAATAACCGAAGGCAAATTATGTCACATACTTATGTAAAAAAGCAATTTCTTTTAAATTCCTTTTAATTTCCTGAAGAAAAAATGAGGTAGCTAAATTAAACTGAAAATTATTTATATACTACTGCATTTAAAACTAAATTTTTTTTTCTATTTTTCATAAAAAATCAAAAGAAAACTTAAAAATAAAAATAATTTTTGGGCGCTTTTTTTTGGGCGCTCATACCGGTAAAACAGCACTAAATAACCTCTGGGTTCTTCACTGCCAATACTCACCAATTAGTATTAATATATCACCAATTACACTATTCAGTATATTCAAAGATTAATGTTCAAGAAAAATATTTTATAATTTTATGTGAGTGCTTATTTTATTTAAGATTCAAAAAACAGAATCAAGATGCTGATCATGAAGAGATTGTTAATCATTTAACAACTTCTAACATTGCACTTTCAAAACGTGCTGAAAAAGTGGAGGTAATTTTTTTTGAAAAAGTAATTTTTTTTAAAGTTTCTTTTTCGTACTTGAAAAATAGTTTTATACATGAAAATATTTGTTTATAGATGGCATTTTTAAAAGTCAATAGGGATGCTGTTATAAACAAATACAACCACCAATCTGAGTTAATAAATGACGTCAAAAAAAGAATTGAAATGATGCCGTAAGAATAAAAAAAATTCAATCGTTCTAGAAATTATTATTTTTCAATAAGTTTTTAAATAAATTTTTTTTTTAGAAAAAATTCAGATTCTATTAAAATATGCAATGTCTGGGATAGTTATAAAAAGTCATTTTACGATAGCTATGAAAAGATGATTGTAAGTGTTTGAGTATTGGAGTGCTGATTAAAATTTCAGTTTAAAAGAAAAAATAAATGTTCATTTATTTTGAATCTTAGGAAGAGTTCAATAATCTATTTGAGGAATTGACAAAAGGTAAATCTCTTGAAGAGTTGCCACCTGCCAAGTATACAGAGCCACCACCTTTACCCGTGCCTCTTAACATGGTATTAAGTTTGATTTTTTTTAATACTTAATATAACATTACTCTAATAAATATATATAATATTTAAGTATATATTGAGTTGAGTAGAAAGTAATTTTGTATTTTGCACATCAATTTTTTATCACTAAAAATAGTTAGGCCTTGTTATGAGATTTCATTGTGTAACAAAAACGCTAAAAAATGTTTTAGCTCAGCTTTGATGTTTACCTTGTTAAAAGTTAAAATGCGTCATTAGAACATTACAAAACCATGTTAAATTCCTTTGAAATTAAATTTTACATTCTACATTAAGAATGTTACACGATACTGAAACAAAATATTTAAATATATTTGTGAATTGAATTCTCCCTTTTTGAAAGAAAAAAAAGTTTTTAATTTGCTTCCTCAAATTTTAATCTATGATGAAGAGACTTTTTATCTAATGAATTAGATGATAAAAAAAATTTCTCAATATTGCAAAACCATTTTATATTCCTTTGAAACTAAATTTTACATTCTACATTTTGCTAACTATTTTATATTCTTTCAAAACTAAATTTATATTTTTAGTTTTCAACATCATATTTAATTTAAAGTCTTTTAATTTTAAAAATTTTTTAAGTTTTAAAAAATATATTAAATAATCAGTTTCTATAACAAAAAAATTAATAATTGCAATTTCTATAGCAAAAAAATTAGCAATTTTGATTAAGTTTTTTTTTTTTTTACAACTTAATATTTTCTTGATAAATGTCACATAAACGGTATAAAAAGATAATTTAAATAATCCAAAATAAAAAAAATTTTCGTTTAACGTAAAATTGTTAAATGCATACGTAAAATATCATAAAATGTAAGCCATGTAACGCTTCTCAACAAAGCTGTATGATTTTTAACCTTAGTTTGTTTCATTATTTACAATTTAATTATTTAATTAGTTAATATGGAGCAAAATCAGAAGTTCTTTAGGTGTTTGATGTTGTTCAATTTCGAGAAAGGAAAAAACACAATACAAGCAAAAAGAAACATATACAATTTATGGGGAAATTAGCGTAAGCAAATGCATATGCCAGAATTGGTTTGCAAAATTCTGTTCTAACCTATACATCATGTGAAAGTTCTGGAGGGCTCAGACAGACCATCAATAGTTGATAAAGATCAGTTGAAGACATTGGTTGAAAATAACTAGTATTTTACAACTCCAGAGATGGCAGAGAGTGTCTCAAAAAACTGTGGTATATAACTTACATAGATTAGGATACGTCTGTTGTTAAAATATATGGATGCTACATAAATAGAGTGAACAAAACATAATGGATCAAATCTATATCTGTAATTCACTGCTCAAATGCAATAATATTGTTCCATTTTTTTAGGTTTAATTTTTATGATAACAGGTGTTGAAAAATGGATAGTTTATAATAATATAAATTGTAAAAGATGGAAAACAAAATAGAGAAGAATCTCAAACCAAAATCCGCTTCTTTAACAAAATCATAAATTATACAAAAGCAATAATGTTTTTTCTTTATCTTATACCTCTATTATTTTAT